CCAATACTTCGCTGTTTGGGGAACAACAAACAGCAAAACAGCTGCCAACGGCCAACAATCACTCCAATTGCAGCAACAGCAACGAGATGAAGAAGGGCATCAACCGCAGTTGAATGGCAAGAGAAAGATCGACTTCTTGCACTCTGCGACGGTCCCCAGAGTTGCTTCTAGACTCAACTATCTTCTCAGGTTTCTGATTCCAGTCACCCTTGCCTCAGCTGCAGCATCCATGGCTCCGCCCGCACCATGTTAACATTCGAAGAGCTGTTCTCAATTTAACATCCCATTAGGAAGAGTGGTACTTCAAGCCTGAGTGCTCAAGGATCTTGATGCCTTATGTACTAAGTCACGGCTTGGGCTATTCAGTACACCTTAAGGCCACCAAGCCCCATCTGCTCCCGGAAGCTGCCCAGTGCTGTCGGGTCCAGTCTAGTTGGATGTGTCTTAATCTTTCGACGTTTCGTTGCGTCTGCACATGTCCATCACATAACATTATGCGATTGATTGGTCTAGGTACAAGTTCGGTGACTCGGGTTAGCTCCGCAATTATGCGTCTATCTGTTCATCTCGTACATACAAGAGAGAGGCAGAGAGGCAGGTAGATAAAGATCTCCATTTACGTACCGGTGTAATATACTTGTGTGCATGCATGTTTGCGTACATGAACGTATGTATGTGTAAACATGCCTGTCTATGCACATGTGTATGTGAGCGCGGCCGTGTGTATGTGTGCATGCATGCGTGTGTGTACAATGTTATGTCATGCTTGGAAAGGTTATGCGCGGCTGTGTAGTGTTGCGTCATGTACTGAACTGCAATGTTACGCAAGGCAATGCAACGTAGTGAAATGTGATGCAATGCAAAATGTAATGCAATGTTATGCCGTTCAATACAATGTAGTGAACGTAACACACCGTGAAACACAACGTCATGCAATGTGACGACATGAAATGCTATGGACTATGGATGAACTGTATGCAATGTAAGGCATTGCAATAGTGTAACGATTTAGGGTTTAGGGTTTAGGGTGCAATGCATTGCACTGCAATCTAACGCAACATAATGTAACTACTGTAATGTAGCTACATACATACATACATACATACATACATACATGCATGTATGCACCCCGCATGCATGCATACCCACACCAGTACCCATACCCATACACGTGCCCGTAGCCGTACCCATAGCCGTATTCATACCCATGCGTAGATGTATATGCATATCGATATCCGTATCCGCATAAACAAACAATTGTGAATGTATCGTAATACCAACATACACATATACATGTACATGTACCTGTACGCGATACCTTGACTTGCATTATCTAGCTGCGCGGAGCTCAATCACCAGCCTCATGGCCTAAGGCACCAGATTTCACCACGTCCTGGCGCAGCTTGGAGAGCGCCTTGGAGAGAATCTGGATGTTAGTGGACTTGCCAATGAAGGTGTTGCCGACCACCTTCACTGGCTCCGAAGGAGTTGGACAAGCAGATTTCATGAAATCACCGAACACCCGAGAAGGAGGGGACAGAGAGTTCTGGGTGCTGGATTCGGGCTTCGGATAAGCGATGATAAGCTTTGAACTTTGCGGGCATGCGCCGAGAAAGTTGTCCTGGGATCTAGTGCAGATCCAAGCATTGCAACTGCCAAGGCTCACCATAACGCCGTGACGCACCAGCTGGGTTTCCAACAGCCTCGGGCTTGCCAAACCAATCGTTAACTATGACATGGAAGTAAATCGCTTCCTGCCAGGACGAGAGGAGAGAGTTGAGCCATGAGCTCTAGAGAGCGCAGTGACTCGCCGAACCACCGACGCTGGGCAGCTAACATAGAACACTTTGGCCTGTGCTCTCGTGCCAGGAGGCTGAATGATCTTCCCGACGAAAGAGGGCACCACCTGGCGAGCAGAGGTGACGGGAGCAGAGAGCGCTGCCCCTTTCTCTTGGCGGTCTCAGCGCTCTCAGCACATGCGCCGCATGCCTGCAGCTTCGAAAGCCGCAGCTGATTCTCGATTTCCTTCTGCAAGCTCCCGTAGTCCATCTGACATTAAAAAGCGGGCTGTGACCGTTTAGGAGTTAGTTGGCACACTGGGCGTTGAGGAGTTGAGGAGCAACCCAGGGTGACAAGAGCGACCGGTAGGGGATTTGAGGCCCGAAGTCCCACTGCAAGCTTCACAAGGGCCCCCGCGTAAGGAACGTCCACTTCTGGGTAAAGGTCACCTGAAGTGTCAATGCATCACGAAGTAACATCCAATCCAGATCCTCTCGGGAGCACTGCATCACGCGAGTCGAACAGGCGGTCGCTGTGCACAGAGGCTATCTGCCACATGTAGAAAAGTGTGCTGGGCCACGGGCTGATGATTCCGAAGAAAAGCGGCAGGTCGAACGACAAGAACTTCGGCACCTTGGGCCAGGCATCTACATTTAGGTTTGGCTCCTTTGTCGGGACGGTGCCTCCAAGTCAAGCTCATGAGACTGTAACGCCCCTTAGCCTTCTCCAAAAAATGCAGCAGCATTGCGCTGGAATGTAGGCTTTGACTCATGATCACCTGCATACCCAGATCTCCGCACTGTGAGTCTCCCTTTACCCATGCCACGGCACGTTCGAGTCGCGCAGGGCACGGATCAAAGTGACGTCCTGTGACGGGCAGCAAGGCTCTTGACATCCGGGAGCTGTTGGAGGCACATGACCCAGCCGGCCTCCACCAAAGCAGGGTATTTGCCTTCAATTTGTGCTCTCTGTTGGCACCCGACACATTACTCAGACAGAAGACAATGCCCTGAACACCCGGCTCTCTGGACTCGGCTTCAAAGTCGTCTCTACCGCTCCTATGAGACCTGCTTGGCTTGGGCTTTGAGAAGATGGTTTCCCACCTGGCTTGACAGCTCAGCTGATGAAAGCGTCGGCAATTAGCGTTTTCTGTGGAAGGGTTCCCGAAGCAAAGCGGGTTCGACGTTGGCCTTCTGTGCCTACCTCTCTCACTCGCGGCTTCGGAAGGTGATAAGGATGATTGCAACCAGGAGGTCGATGATGATGGCTAGTGTGAAGACCCAAGGTGCTAAGCCTTGCTTGACGACCAACGAGCACGAAAACGACGGCATCAAGCTCGTTTTGCGGACACAGCGGGATGGTCTCCAGATGGACACGAAGCATTGCCCTGCTCGCTGAGCTGCGTTTGAGCTGGCCGGCCATGACCAGGACCGACTTAACAGCTCGCATGCCGAAGTCATAGTGGTCCTGTCTGCGGGAAACAGGAAGAAAAACATCGCGCTCAAGTGAAGCAATGCGCCGAGCAAACAGGCTGACACCACACTTCAGAGCCTGCGATCTGCATTCAACAGATCGCGAAAGGAGCGCTCTGCAGGACGCAGGGCGGCGGCAGTGGCTCCGTGTCTCTTTTCGCTCCTGCTTGGAGAGCTGCTCCGAGGAGAGGCTGTAAAGGTTCACCTCGGCGGCGGTGCGTCTGTGCGCTTGCGTGCAGCCACAAGCGACACGGCAACGGGCCCCGGGCCATCTTCCGAGCAAGGGCCGTGGCGCTTCCGAAGCCCTGACAGCAGGGGACATAGGGCTTGCCGGTCGCTTGTACGCTGGGTGCCTCAGAGTAGAGGATGATCTCCGCAATGAGGCAGTAGTCAGGGACCTGAGAGGCGAGTTGCGTCGACTCTGCGCCTACTAGTACCGCACGCGAAGTCGGAGTTGGAGAGCACACTGAGAATCGTGGCTTGCTATGGGCTAGTGCCTTTCTGCAAAACGAGCGTCCATCATGGCCACAGGGCGGAAGAGGGACTTCAGGTTATCCTGCACCGTGACGCTGCACTAGAAGCTTCTACGGGTGTTCCTCCTCGGCGCATGTCCCTGAGCTCCGAAACTAAACAGCAAAAGCAGCTCACGACCGTCCGGCAGCTCAGCACGACCAGCGTAGCCGGGATTCATCGTGATGAAAACCTTGTCACCACAGTTGGATGAAGGATCATGAAGGACAGAGTCTAGGGTTGACGGGTCTGAGCCTAGAATCCCTGCTTCCTCATAAAAAGCCTTCACCTCAACACGCTGCAGAGCGCTGCGCTGCGCCTGCGCCCGCCTGCGCCCGGGGCCCCGGCTCCGAAGCGCGGGTTCAAGGGAATCTCGCGGCCCACGAACTCGAAGGTCTCCTCAAGGACTCGGAGCGGCGCGGAGCGTGGCAGAGAGCGGCGGAGGGCGGAGCATGGCGCATGCCGGCGCCGAGTCTCCTTGCGAGCCCTGATGGCGTGGGTCACCGTGAGCATCTGCTGGGCAATGACCTCCAGCTCCGGGCTTCTTCGCGAGAGAGTGGAAGAATGCTTCAGCGGAAAGCTGTGCAAACCATGCGTATTTGTCCAGATTCGGGTACAAATCAAGCTGGACGGGGCTCTGGCACTCAACACCTCCACCTGAATCACGAGAGCAACTGCGCAGTCATCATATCAAGGCAGAACCCCCGATCCTCAGTTGCCTGCCTGATTTCTTTGGCACTGCACGAGCTTCCGTGTGGAAGACGGCTCTCGCAAGAATCAGGGGTCCTTGGCTCTACTCCGCGCCTGGATGCGGTTGAACTCATCAAAGCAGGCCCAGGCGCCGGCCTGGCCAAAGCATTTTGCAAGGAGCTTCCGCCGGGGACCGGGCCGGAGGCCGGAGGAGCGTGACCTGGCCTGGGCCAGGCCACTGAAGAAGCGGCCCATGATCTTGTAGTCCAAGCCTGCACTCCGCGGCTCAACCCCGAGACTCCTACTGAACAGCAGTGAGCGGCAGCCCCGTCCGTCGGAGCAATTGAACACGATAACGGGAACCGCCAGAGCTTTGCCCAGATCCTGCACAGCCAGCGGTGAGCTCTTCGTAGTAGCCTAACCGGCCAAACCCGCTTCTTAGCGTTGGACCCTTTGTTGTTTGGGGTTCGGGGGCTTCCAGATGCTTCCAGCCTTAGCCTTTGCGCCCTGGCCGTTGTTTGACTCCGTGCTTTCCTTGTTTCTCTGTCTCTCGGTGTTGATTCTCCTCAGTGGCAGCTGCAATCCTTCATGGCCAGCTGTGCGAACTTGCGGCAAGCAGCCTGATAAACCAATGCATGACCATCCTCGACCAAAAGGTGCACTTGTTCTAGTTGTCATGCTGCGTGAGCCTGGTACGCAACTGAAGCTTCTTTCGCGCCAGTCTGTATGGACCCGCGCTCTGTCAAGGGGCTTACTCGTTCTCCAAGCAGCTCGGCTGTTGGATCCGCAAGTTGGTATGGGACTGAGTGGGAATGTTGCTTGAGGAGTCTCGGGGCCGAAACACAGCTCTGCAAGCCTCTCTCACAGCACCTTGTAAGGTCTGATGAGAATTTCCCCACCTTTCATTCCTTTGGTCGCACCCACTGATAACAGTATGCACTACAGCAAAAGAGAGCGTGGTTATGAGTTTGCACAAGGCTGCTAATCTTCAATTTAACAAAACCGCTGGAAAATCAGCAACAGCAATCATTGAAATTGCAAGTTTAAAAGGGTACACAAGCAACGAAAAGACCAGACAAAATAATTAGTTTCAACCATGGTAGTGACCTGGTAGTAACAAGAAACATAGTTCTGATGGCGGCAATGATGGCCTCTCAATGCGACAAAAGACTCAATGCCTCTTTTCCAGACTCGACTCTCACTCTGCTCGTGGTAACACTGACAAGTGCCGAATGCTAATCCATGCAGTTCGCCTCCCCTTCCTCATGTCATACCCGTTGCAGTTGCCTTGCGGAGCGAGAGGATTAGAACGACCTGGTAACCCGCAGCGCTGCGGTACCGTGCATGGTAAAACGACCATGAAAACAGCGGCGACGAAGCCTTCGTCGGTAGTTCTGCATCATGGATTCGACATGCAGGCTGCTCCGGCAAGTCTGCACGCAGGCCCCGCTTCTCAGGAAGCTGACGTTGCTTTGGCAAGACAAAAAAGCATCGTGTGTTCCCATCATGACACGGGTTTCCTGGTTCAACACCTTCGAGAGCTGATCGCTCCACTGCTGGGCCTCTTGCGTCTCCGTCCTTTCCCGCGACGAACCCAGGAGCCAACTGACTGAGGACAAAGGCACGCAAACAGGGCGAACATGCGCGAAAAAATCTTGCGTGACCGCACGGCTTTGACGTCGAAATCGAGCTGCGGCGAAGTGATGTGACTCGAGGGTGAGATGGTCAGGACGCGCAGGATGATTACCGTCCACTGTTGATCATAGTCCCCTTATAAGGGGAGGTCGTGTGCAGCACCTGCACAACTTCTCAGATGCCACTATTCAGTGCAGGTCGTGAGTCGTGGCGTGCATTTTCGTGTCTAGGCCCGCCCAAGCGGTGAGGCGTCTTGACAAACCCACCGTTGCAAACTGAACGCCCCTTAGAAACCAGCCTGATTGCAAACCACATATCCGAAATGAAAGACGCCGCACAAGGCTATCCTTGGTGGTCTCGGTCTTCCCCGTGCCCGCGGGTCCGGCAGGAGCACCTCTGGACCAGTCCCAGCTGTGTGCGGCAGACAGCACAAGAGCAGAGCTCAAAGCAAAGTTCCAAGAAAGGGCTTTGGACGCTCCTCCCTTTGATTTGGGCACTCTACGAGTGACCTTTAGCTGACTAGCGCAGAAGCCACGCCTGAATCTTGGGCCAGCTGGACCCCCAACGAAGCTCGTTCCGGCCTCCATAGTTGAGGTGGATAGCGCCGGTCAGCGTCATGTAGCACCTCAACTTCCCCGAATTTGAAGTGTGTCGAACAGCAGTGGAAGATCAGATCCCCTCGCACGTTCTTCTGTTCATCCTCACCAGTCGACCCGAAGCGGCCTGACCCAAACCCAAAGTAGCAAAGGACAGACAGGATTGCAACCTTCGCGCTACTTCCTGGGCTGGGCACTTGTCCGTCAAGGGCGTGACAACCAGACGTGGAGTGTTGCCTAGGTACTCGAAGGAGTACCTGGCTGGCAAGATTTACGAGTACTTCCCCGTTTTGGAATGCGAAGCCCGGGGCACCGAATGTTGGCGATGGTTTGTTTGACGATGCACGTATCGGAGGCACGTGTCCCATCTGACCTTGGCGAAGGCCAAAGCCAAAGCATGCCGTCTGCGCGAAGATGGCGACGTGTGGCCTAGCGCCCTTTCGCAGCACTTGAAGCTCTTGGGCAAGCACATTAGCACCTGACAATGCAAACAAGCACTCACCACAGATGCTCAGATGCGGCTGGCTCAACAAGGATCTCTTGTGCCTCAGGTGGATGCACCGGGAACCCAACGAAGGAATGCTATCTATAGTGCCCGTAGACTCCGCAAACTGCGCCTCCTCCATGGCCCAGTAGTATCGAAGCTGCTTGCTCCAATCGAAGTCATTGACAGACCTCCAACTCAACACCGACGACTGCTCCGAAAGGCTCTGAAGGTCAAGGAACAGTAACCGTCACGTCCCGCAATCTCGACACCTCAAGGCTTTCTCTGTCTGAGAGCCACAAACTTATGACTTCGGAGATGTTCAGAGGCTGTCGGGATGGGGTTCCTTGTGCCTGCACTTCGCAGCGTCAATCTGCTCCAGGACGGAGATGCCGTGGACCTTCACACGCAGCAAACAGCAAACGCAAGCAGCCTTCCAGCCTGGAGCCGAGATCCTGGACGCAAACAAGTTGAAGAACTTCTGCCAGCCGTTTCTTCTTTGTGCAGCAACTTACGGAGCATGTGAACAGCATGGGCTCTTGGGAGGATTGTCGCCTTCAAACGAGCATCACCGAACCCATTCGTTGCGGAGCTCGACAAAACGGTAAGCATCGCACATCCAAGACAATCAGCGCGCCCATCAGCACCTGAACAAGCGAAATCGCTTGGCAGGTGGAAGGTTGTAAACTGCAACAGGGTCCTGCGAAAGATAGAGCCTCCCATGATCATCGGAGCCCCATCCATGCTTTGCGGAAAGACAGAGCAAATGGTGCTCCCTTTATTGCGAACCTACTCCCTTTGCGTGACACCTGTAAACCTGGGCCATGACAGAAGCCACAGGGTGCCCCTGTTTACCGGGGCTCGGTCTCGCTGGAGCTTCGTCAGATCCAAGCGCACGAGTTCGACGCTGTGCCTGTACTCAGCTTTACAAGGTGTGCATCAGGGTTGATTCGAGGAGTCTTCCAGGTTTGAACCACACCGACTCTTCGGGTGTGAAGTGCACATGCACCATTGAGGCTGCTGCTCCAACTGCTTATTGGTGAAATCGATGTTGGCCCGCATCGCCTGGCGGACCAGCGAAAAAGCTGAAAACAGACACATCAACAAGGCAAGCTAAACTAGCAAAAAGCTCGTCGACAAAAGAAGGGGCCAATTCACAGGGGCCTGTTGGTTTCCCTTCTCCACGAGGTTCAGCGCGTCTTCCGCGCACTTCGTCCACATGATCTGGTCGACGGCCAAGGCCTGGCCGGCAAGTCGAGCTCCGACAGAGACTCCGAGGGGGAGGAAACAGGGCCATGCGCACGGCTTGCGCGGGGAAGGGCCCGAAGAGCCAATCCTTCCGGACGATGCCATCCTGGAAGGACGAGGTTCTGTGGCTGTGTGGCAAGGGCGCACCGACAGCATGTTCTCTGTCATTCTGCGGATGTGTGTATGACATGTGATGGCTGTACCCGAGGTGTGGGAGGTACATTGGCTGTGCAGGTACTGCTTGCGGATGCCGAGGTTCCAAAGCCTGTAGCTTGCGAGCTTTTGCGACAGCCATCCACGACCAAAGACCACAGGCCCTGGTTGGTGCTTTTCGATCGCTTCGACATCCGGCGCTTGCCCAAGCTACTCTACTGCCAAGCCTTTCAGTTGAACTAACTCGCTTGAGTCCACACATGCGAGGATCTGAACAATGAGGTGTCCTCCCACCTCCTGTCTTTCTGGCGGCCGACACTGCGCATCAGCTTGCAACAACCCTGCAATGGTGCTCGTTGCGAGATGTGCGCCCAGGAGTTTTCAACCCAAGTTGTTTTGACTGAGAAAACACACCATCGAAACCTGTGTCTTTGCACTGCTGCGAGCTTAGAGGTCGTGTCAACTTCAGGGAGTTAGGATTGAGAGTTGCCTTCATGCGAGAATTCGCAGATGCACGATGTTTTGCACAGAGTGAACTTCCTCCACACCTCTCCCCGGCGTCCTCTGGGTATGCTTCCACGGCGGCCTGCTGGAATTGCGGCTGACAATCCCACAAGAGAAGCCACCTAGAGCCCTCCCTCAAAATCATGCTTCAGCCTGCGGGTCCAGCAGATGCTTAGAGGCTTCAGGGCATGGGCCGCGAAGTTTCGAGGCCTTCGTCAGAGCTTGAAGGCTCTCCACCATGCGCATTTCGATCTGGCCGAGCCTAGAGCCACAAGGGCGCGACGGGCAATGCGTGAAACTTTCGGAATGGGGCGCTCTGGTAAACTCCCCTCCTTATTCCAAGTCTAGTCATCTGTCGTCCCGTCTAGGGACCCGACCACCGCTCGACCGGAGAGCCCATTGTCTGCACTGGGCTGACGAAGTGAACCTGAAGAGCCATTCGTAAATGCCGTGCACAATGTCTGAAAACATGTGCAACAACCTGTCACACGAGTACCCGTGTGCCTTCTCTTTGATCATGTCGTTCATGTCGACGATGTCCTTCTTCTTGTCCTGCCGGGTTGAGCGGGCTGGCATGCACGATGCATGGCTTCTGTAGGTGGGTATTCCTGGCACCTGAACTTGACCTGACGGACCAAGATGCGAGACGCACTTTAATCGAAACGACGCAGCCGAACAGGACACCCGCTATCAAGCCGGCAGTCCCTCCTCGGTGAAAGTGACTTTGCTGATTGCGTCGAAGCACTTACCTGGATGGCAGGGAGAGGCTGCCTGCGGCACTCGGGACGTGCACTTCCATCTGAAGCATCTCCAAGCGAGTCTACGGCTGCAAGAAAGTCGGTCCCGCATGGGGAGCCTTGGGTGGATTTCGGGGTAGCATGGGCTCTAAGGGAGGCCAGGCAGAAGCCATGTTGTGGACTGTCCATGCAGTGCCAGGTCACAGAGGTGCTCCTGGACCGCTTCCGGATTCCTGCAACGCCGCGATACACCATTCTGTTCGCACTTGCTGCCACCGCCAAACATTCCCCAGAAGGCGAACTAGTCAGACCACTTCTAATCTCCTTGACTGACACATATGGACGAACACTAGCAGCAAGCTCACTGCAAATCTAGGAGGGCGAGTGGCAACACAGGACCGTTCTGGCGGGGGCTGCAGCTGCTGCTTTGCCCCCAGGCCTCGTCTGAGACATGATGCTAAGCAGCTCGTCATCGGAGAGGAAGTAAAATCTCCTGAGCGCATCCGTCACAGTCGAAACTCTGAGATCCAAGCAGCCAAGGCGGCAGCGGGAAAGAGGCCCGCTTCGTCTCCAAGTATGCCTGCAGCCGATCGTCGCTTCCTTCCCCCTTTAAGGCGAACTTTAACGTGGCCTCCAGACTCTTCTGGATCTGATCCAGCTGGTCGTTGGCATTTCTCAATCCTTTGGAGAGGCTTGGAGACAGGAGCCCTGTCAGCCGTCCAGTCTTCCCTACTTTAGCCTGCAGAATCTCTTCAGAGTGCGATTTTTTTGGTCGAAGGTGCGTCGAGTGAGTCTGAGAACTCGCTGAAGCGACCGGGGGGGCCCGGGGGGGCGGCAGCGCAACCGGCCGAAGCCAATGAAACCCTTCTCTGAAGCTTCATGAACGCCTCCACCGGACACCCCCAAACAGCCGCTTCAGCAAGAGACCTAGGGCCGACTTGAGCCGGCTAACAGCTGCTCGAGCAGCCCTTAGACGTGAAGTCAAGTGTTTCCTATATTGCCCTACCTTGCCCTACCTTCCCTCCTGCGTTGCTGGCTGTGCCATACCATGCCAATAATGCCTTTGCTGTTCTGTACATACCGGGCTGTACTAAGCTTGCAGTATTACACGGTCATATGCTTGTACTGCACAGGAAATTCTGTCTGCTACCGTACGCTAGCCCCACCTGCTGTAGTTGACTGAAACAATTCATGTGCCACAGCAGGCTATTGCACTACGCCAGACGATGCGAACTATGTGAGTACAGAACTCATCACATGTACGTGTGCGATCAGGCATGCATGCATGCGAATGTGTATGCGCATGAGCAGTATGGGGAAGGGCTGGTATGGTAAGGTATATAGCGTCGGGTGACCGGGTGCCTTGCTATTTCCACCCACCCACCAACCGACCGACTTGCATACATAACGGATAGCCAGGTCCATCATCAGGGTGGATATGATGAGCACGGCGCTTATGCATGCATCAAATCAGAGCACAGCCCATGAACATGAAGGCTCGCTCACCGAAGCAC